ATATGTTCCATTTAAGTGACACTTGTGAATCTCCTCCAGTTAAGAAAATACAAGTCTCTGCCTACCTACTTCCAAAGTTTTACAGTAAAACACTCCTATACATTTTAATGCAGAGACTTCTGAATATGTAAATACATCTGTTTATGGTCAAAATTACTGCTCCATATAAAGTAGGTTTCTGAAAAATGTGGCTCTGTCCAACTTCTTCCCAGCAACTGATACAACTAATGCTCAACACAAATTAATGATTATTTTCTGAACATGTCCATAGAAAGGACAAAACTAAAAACCTTGTGTCTTACTAACACACACAAGTTGGCCTAAAGCCCATTTCAACTGAACACCTGAAGTTTGACAGCTTACCGTAACAGTTTGGCCAGCCTTTAGTACAAATCCTGAGGTATATCTGTAACGAGCAAAAGTGTCTCCCGTTTCTCGGACTAGCTCCCAACCTCCCATAGGTTGATCCTAATAAAAAGAAGAAAAGAAAAATTCCATCAGCAGTTATCTTCTGTTACACATGTAGGGTATTTTACATACAATGCTGTGAGGCACAAACATTTTTACTAAGAGTATTTTTATCACTTCAGCATGCAATTAGAATAATTTCAGTTAAATTTGTCTTACCTCTTATTTCAAGGTAAAGCTTAACACATCTTGCTTTTCAGTTCTGATGTTGTATTAACGGATGTTTATAATTTGCATCAGTTTTGTTACAGTTTGGTCCAGAAAAACATAATTCAATATTAAAATCCCCTTATAAATATGTAATGTTTCTACATATGCACACTTGCCACTACATACTCCTTTGCAAGACCTACACTGTTTTTTCCTTTCAATTATTTTTTCCTATCAACTACTTGAAAAGCACTAGCAAATCTAATAGAAAAACATATACAAGTCATCAGTACAGAATGACTATTTCTAAACAAGAGTAGACTCTTTTTAATTTCTTCCACCAACACACAAGTTTCCAAACATTAAACAGTTGACACTGGTGTCTGAAAACAGAGACAGTTAAGATAATCTAAAATAAACAGTGTTATTTATCTTAATGGATGCTGACATTCAGTTCGTCATTGCAACAAAATATACCATACTTAAAGGATTTTATATATTTTCTATCTATCTTTAAATGTATATAAAAAACCCAAAACTGTCAAAAACTTGTTAAAATTGCCCAAGTACAGTGTATGACACAGCACTACACACAGTTGCTCAAATCTAGAACCTCAGCAAAGTGCTATAACCATCCACGGTTACCGTAACAGAACTGATGGTCCTTCCAGGAACAATGCACATGTAGCTAAATTAAATAAAAAGGGAGGAAACGCATGTGGTACACAAGGTAGGGGCAGGGAAATCCCAAAAGCTTGAAAAACTCAAAAAGTAAAAAAATGGCAGGTCCTCACTCACTAGAAGCAGTCTTTGATATGTCTGGATTTAGTCATCCCAACACTTAACTGTCTAGAGCAAGAGAGGTGTCAAGGTTTCTTCCATTCAGTAAATGAAGTCAGCACTCTCAGCTGACACCCCAGGCAGGTAATTAAGATACACAAGTGTTAACATCTGGAGAAGTCTATCCATCTCTTCATTGATTAGAGAGGATTGAGACACTTGTAACCAGACCAATCTTTGTCATCTAAAACATTAACATAAGCTGCCTTTTAGTGAAGGTAAAGGATACCATAACATTAGACGAAGCCCATGCGTCACTGAAAACAAAACATGCAGCTAACACTTCTACACAGAGCTGAGGCACAGACATCACAAGAGAAGGCAAGAATTATTTAGACCTTCTCTAAAATCAAGGCTGCAAGAAATTAGGTCTTGTAATTCTGGTGTCCTAATGAGCAAATGCTCAATTCTCTCTTCTCCCAGACAAAGGATTTAAGAAGTTATAGTCCCCAGTCTCCAACCCCTCCTGTGATGACTCGCAATACTGCATATAGCATAGGACTTCTTTTTTCTTAAGCAGAAATTACAAGTAACTTTGAGAGGGGTAAGAAGAGAGCATGGGTTAAAGTGTACTGAACATAAGTTAGCATCCTTCTGAGGGCAACATAAGGAAAAGTGTTACTATTACTCAGATTAAACACTCTTGGATAGATATGTGTCCCCTCAATACAAACTCCAGTCTAATAATAAAGTTAAATAATCTGAGTAGCCATCATAAAAGTGGCTTTGGCATGGGAACTGAGGTCTCTTAAAACAGCTGATGCACTGAAATAAGAAGGAAAACTATGATTTAGAGAAGCTATATGCAAATACAAGGGACACAGGCAATTAATTACATTTAGATATTTACTCTGCATCAGTATGTACTTCTTTTATGGCTTTTCAAGGCAGAGAAAGTCTTAAAAGTTTTCTAAAGTGGTCTAATTTCTGTGTGTGCTATTTCCTATTGGTGACAACATTATCTGTGAAGCTTTACAGGAAGATCACTTGAAAGGCAGAACTCTGAGGAGTGATGTAACACTTTGGTGGGTAGGCAACCTAGCAATAAAACAATCGCTATGAAAAGCACTAAAAATCGTTAGTAAGAAGTCGTAATTAATCTAGAATACCACATGAAAGCTTATTTTGTGACACACTAGTTTCTTAGTGCTGTCTCTTATACAGCATGCTATAGTTCTAGGGTCAACGTGAAGCCTGAGGACTGAAAGGGTGCTCAGGATGCTTTCTACCTCTAATCAGCCTGATGTAAAGTCATGGTACATGCGCATTTTCAAACCTGTTCAGAGGTGTTCTTCACACGGATGAATTTTCCATCAACATCTATCTCCTCAATAGAGACATTTCCAGTGGAAGAAGCTGAGTGGCAAATGCTAACACTGCTGCTGGCTTCAGATTCCTCCACAGCAATCCTCTTCCTCTTCCCCCTGGTAGTACGCACATTACGGCTCGATGATGCCCGTGAAACAGTCACTCGGGAATATGGGCTTGGAGAGAGGTTCAATCTATATTGAAGATACACATACATGGCACTTTGGTTTTACTTTTTCCACCTTTATTCATAAACTTCCTTCCTTCTTTCCCCCTCCCCATAGAATTATACAGCAAAAAAGTATAGGAATATAGCAAAACATGTTACATGAAAAAGTGAAGCTTTAGTTACTTTTTGAAGAATTGCATAAAATGTTGTCAAACAGCTGATTAATGCTTTTGGAGCACAGAATATTGATAGACTACTACATTAAGATCATATGCATTTGCTGAAGACTGTATTCCGAGGTAGATGGAACAAGAAAAAACTCTTAGAAGGACTTAAAGCATTGAAGGAAATTTATGCAAAACCCCAAAGGCACAACAGTTTTTGCTGCTTCACCCCCACAGTTAAGAATCAGCCCGAACCAGTGGGATGCCATTCTGAAAACAGTGAAGTAACAAACTACTTTAAATGACAGTAGTGCCTTACCAGAAAAAAATTCTCAGTACTGCTGAACTCTGGGGTCAGATGTGGAAGACGCAGCTAGCTGATAAGCTGGGCAATCATAACAGCAATTACTTTATAAAAATTATTCTATACTTAAAGAAATGTGGCTAACAATTGAAAACTACTGTAATTAACTTTGAACAATATTAACCATGGCACCAAACAGACCTACAAATAACAATCCATTACATCCTCAGTGCTGAATCTTAATAGAAGAATATTTATTTCCTTGAGAGCTATTGGTCTGATACTCAAGCAACTTGGTCTCATGGAGACTTAGACATAAGTGTGTCAGACGGGGGG